CTCTCATAATGATATGATGGTTTTGGGACGGTAAACCCCACATATCATCATCACACAATGTTGCCATTAATTTTGGCATGCAAGGTGAGCGTTTGGAGGTAAGCTATAAAATTGATTTGAAAAGGAACTGCGAAAATTTCAAGCCTGCCATTTGGAATGAATGGTGCAAATGTGCAAATTAACGTAGCCAGTGCATTTCATTGAGATCTATTGACCTCAAAAAATCGCCAGTGTTGGCCTTGAAGGCCCTGGGAAGCACTATTGGCCGCTCTCCAGTGTGCATGTGCCGACCAATACTCACCACTGGTACATCAAAAATGAAGAAGTATGCGTGCAAAAGAATGTAACAATGAAAGATAAATATATAGATATCACAATTATAAAAAAAAAGAGCGTAGTCCTCATAACTTCTCGCACCCTTTCCCACACTCTCCATAGGGTGAGGGCACGATACCATGTCGAGAAGTTACGCACTGATGGGCTTTAACGCGCATGTGTAGTCAAGCCTTAAGGAGGTCGTGTCACAATATTTGTGCCACGCTCTTTCTTGCAAGCTTTAATTATAGCTCCAACAAGCACGATAAACGTACCAAGATTAATTTATTCTCGCTATATGATTTGTCGCCTTTTTGATATGAACAATTTTCAGTTCCTGTTGATGGGGATTGAGTTGGGCAGGTACGTAGCAGTGTAGCTCACTTAGCCACGTGATCACAAAGTTCGCACACATGTGCCACACAAGCAGCTGCAAAACAAACTCACCGCTACCTGCAACAGCCGCGATGCTTTGCCGGTGTGTACCGGATGGAAGTCTGGAGGTCACTCACCTGATTACGGATCTGGTGTGACATCACTATAGATTTCGTTGCCCTTCTTATTAAGCTAAGTCAGTGCTGGATGCGCTCGCGATGAGCCTCGATTAGAAGAATGGGCATTTTGGTATACTTGGGAAGTGATCTAAAATATATTCTTAAACTCACACGGTGCTTGCTATAGCCTTGAAATTTGATGGCACCACCCTATCAAGAGTCTCGGCTTGCGCATAGTTGACACTCGCAGCACGTTGCTCAACCAAGAAGTAACAACTGTGACAGTCGTTCATCAGCACTCCTCCTGTGCTCTTTTTTTTGTGCGTCCTCCATGCTTGAGCTGCACATTGCATGTACAAGGTTACTTGCCCTTCTTATGACATTCTAACTTCTTGCTATCACATTCACTGCTTCACCCTTGTCACAAACTAACTTTTTTTCACATACACTTTTGCAAAATGGGATCATGTGAAACCACGCCGCATTACTGCTTCAAAAATGGAGAGTTTGACAGGTTGACACACGAATGTACCACATTTATGAGGTCGCAATGTCGATATGAGAGTGCACTGCTCAGAAAATTCAAAGGTTTTCAAGGATGGCAAAAAATTCCAACTCTTTCAAAGGCCTTGAAAATGCATTTTCAAATTCAAGGGTTTTCAAGGACCTGTACAAACCCTAGATCATAAGAAACGCCGTAGTGGAGAGCTCCAGAAATTCGTAGCACCTGGGGATCTTTAAAGGGCCACTCACCAGGTTTGACAATTTTGAGCTGACAAGCGCAATGCGTAAATGAGGTGTTCACAATCACATATGCCAAAATTTGCAATGCGCAAATACGCATCACGGAAATGGGTCAAATTTTTAAATGAACGCTGCTCCCCTTTTCTTTCGCGAACGCGTGCCTAGAGAATGAGGGCACGACGTGTGCGTATGAATGGCCCTACGTACACGGCAATGCACTGATGACATTGGTTTTCTACATAGACGACTGGGGCAAAACACAGCCAGTTAAAGCGTATTCTTTTTTTGTTTTTAAACCTGCATGAGAAGAAAGATTAGAAAGTGCCCCTGAAGAGTCGGTAAGTAGTAGTGATTTTTCTGAAAAGTGCTCATTTCTCCCGGTGATAAGTGCAACTTTGCTTGCCATAGTTACTTGCATAACGAACACACTTTTTTTTCTTAGAAAATTGAAGCAAAGTTGAGGGTGCGTTTTTTATGCGAAGCAAATATTATGGAAACGTTTTCGGGATGAGCAAGAAAAATGCAGTAATGCCAAAAAAAAATAAGTCGCTTAGCCTTTTGCAATAAACATACGCATACACTGCTTGGAAACAGCTTCTTTGTTGCACTTCATCTTCGGTGGTTGATGGCACTATCTTCTGCAAGCTGTCTCCGTGCCACCCGCGCACGCCATAAAAACGTTTCGCGGCTATATTTTCTTGCAATCGTTCAACTGCAACAGTGGTACTTGCTGTTATCACGAGGGGACCCAGAAGTGTGCGCTACAATGCTATTTGCCAACTTCGTGGCAGCCTCGCACGACGACGCCATTGACATTGTAGCAAGTAACGAACATTGCAGCAAGCTCGTAAACATGCAGAAGCATTAAAAAACCCGCTGAAGCATAAAAAAGAACGTTGATAACACGATTAACAAGAAAATACGTACGCCGCCTCGCTATCCACATGAGAGTACTGTAGAAAAGAAAGCCTGTATCTTGCATTCATTGAAGTGCGCGCGGATGACAAGCACGAAGAGCAAATCGCAACCGAAGAAAGAATCGGGGTTGCTACCATGTTACGGAAATAGTCACGATCTTTTTTGGGCAACAAGCAATTTTTTCTGGTTTTTAAGAAACCTGCGACGCGATGACGAATGGCCCTTCGCAACAGCCAGGACGACAGCAAATCCTGTCGTCGTCGCTCCAAAAGTTCGTTCCTGTGCTCGGGCCTCAAGGTTTCGTATTTGAAGGAAGCAACTGTCGGTGGCGCGAGCAATTTTGTGACCTTCGGTTCCTGTGTGCTTGTCAGCTGCATCTCTCTACTTCGCACCATTTGTGAACCCCGCAGTAGAGGACAGATAATTAAAGAAAGACAAGGAATTTCCCCAACACTCCAAAAATTTCTTCAATGATACAATTTGATGCAATACAGAAACCAAAGCTCCGTTTGCATCAATCCGGTGACTGCCAACCTTTGAACTTGCCAATGCCGTCACATGATCACAACCGTGGATTAATCGATATTTGGGCTTTAACGTCCCAAAACCACCATATGATTATGATAGACGCCGTAGTGGAGGGCTCCGGAAATTTTGACCACCTGGGGTTCTTTAATGTCCACCCAAATCTGATCACAACCATGAAATTGGATGGTAAAGTTGTGAAGCTAGAAAGAGATGACAGCGTAATTATTAGTGCACTTTGTAATATCAAGTTATTTTAGTGCAAATAATGCCAGCAGGTTGCATCACAAGTTCTCAAAGTTTTAGACGATTGCACGCACTGCAGAACAAACTGGTCATGTGATTACCCTGGAGTGGGCCACGGTATCATTTTCAGCTATTGGAAATGTTTAAGAAGTAGAGAACATCATCACACAAACGCAAGCATCCCTACATTTGTATTTCTGTTACTTTAATAGCGTTAAAGTCGCTACTTATGATTCATAATGAAAAAAATTAGTAAAGTGTAATGGTGTGAATATGACTTTGCTGGTTTCCTACTACCAGAACTGCAAAAATAAAATCTGACGCACATCCGATTTCCATATAGCTGAGCATACTATTGTCAATGTTATGTTGTATTGACACCTGGTGTGATGTATTGTGATGTATTGTACGATGTATTGACAACTGGTGTGAAAAATGGGACATAAAAATTAATTTTGATAAAACTGTTTGCATGACAATTTCAAATAAAAAAACCCCCCTTAACTATAAATACACAATAAACAATAGAGAAATTAAGAGTTCTAATGAGTTTAAATACTTAGGTGTTACTATATCCAGCGGTTTAAAGTGGGACAAGCATATTGACAACATTAGAGGACTGCGAAGCAAAAGCTGGGTTTTCTGAGAAGGAAACTCCGTAATGCAACGCCCTCTGTTAAATTGTTGGCGTATAAGACTATTGTTAGACCAACGCTGGAGTACGCAGCTATCATCTGGGATCCGCATACTAAAACTGAAATTAACAACTTGAACGAGTACAAAGATTGGCCGCGAGGTTTATTTATTCAAATTACATGAGAACACAGTCTGTATCACTTTTGCTTGCTAGGGCTGACCTTCAATCGTTAGCTACACGTAGAAAAATAGCTCGCTTAAAATTTATTTATGACCTGTATCATAAGAACTACAAGCTGGATGCCAGTGTATACCTGCGCCCCCCAGGACGAGAGTCGGCTCGTACCAATCATTTTCTGTCCAAGCCTATGTACCGCGGGTGGATGTATTTAAGTTTTCGTTTCTGGTGCGATCTATTGTTGACTGGAATGCACTTCTTCCCGAGGTACTTACAGGATGTAGATCCTCACAGGATTTTCAACGATGGCTGGACTTGTTTTTTGCCTAACATTGTTTGTGTATTGTTCACCTGTTCACCTCCCACCCCTGCTACAGCCCGCAAGGGCTAGCAGTATTGTAATTAAATAAATAAAATAAATAAATGTTAATTGTCTACTTTGGACCCATAATGTACGTGCTTCTTCAAGTTGGCAAGACAATAAAATTAGGGCAAGTACTGCTAAATGAGTGCAATAGTATGAAAAAGTTGGCACAGTTGGTAAGGTAGCATACTTAGGTAGTGATAAAGACGGGGTGAACCAGAAGGGACACAGATGGTGCTCGTCTGTGTCCCCTCTGTTTTACTCTGTGTTCATTTTTGCGCCGTTCCAAACATACTGCCAAATGATTCAATCCTAGGTTGGGTAGTTTTATTCTGCCTGACAATTATATCAATTAAATAATTTGACTAGCTTTGCCAGCCCCTCAGGTGATAAATGAAAGTCAACTATAACCTTGAAGTAGCCTTTTCCAATTTCACAAGAAATCTGCTAGGCAGAACATGTCGGCAGAACGCGAGCACATAAAAAAGTGGGCGTTCAAAAATGGCCACAGAAAATGCCAATGATTAAGTAAACAAACAACCATGTTTTTTTAAAGACAAAGTACAATCATAATACGCACGTCTTTTTAACGGGAAGAACGCAGTCCATGCCTTTGTTACGGGTGTTCCCAACTTGGCTGCCAACCTGGTGCCAGTCAAGTGTGCTTGGAAAATGAACTGATTGAATCAGCTGTAAAATGCAAGCAAGACACAGTCACAAAATTATTAGCTGACAATGGAGCTACACAGCAAAAGTGACTTAATACACAATACACAAAATGAAAATATTCTTAAGAAGAGATGAGACTCAAACATGTTTTTCCCAAACTTACACATATTTTGTTTTTAATTGCTTTCACAAGTTTAGTCATTGTCTAGAGTCCCCTGGAAACTGTCCACTGGCTGGCTGCCATTGCATTTCCCACGAGACATTCACCCAAACCACACACTCAAAACAACCATGATTCCCAAGCTCTCGTAATTGAAGAAGTCATTTCAAAGAGTACAACATTGCCACATATCCCTTAACATGAAGACTGCTATTCTCTCTACTAAAGCATGATATCACTTATATAACTATTATGAACTTATAGTAGGCAAATAGCATGGGTGGTGGTGAAAACTTATTTATTTATTTACAGGAAATTTTCTGTGGAGAAGCTCCGAGTAGTCGGAGATGCTTGGTTTGCAGTGGGGGGGGGGGGGGGGTTCTCAGTTTAAGACTCCGCTTGCATCAACTGCTCTGCGAGCCCGGCCGATCAAACTCAAGTGATCTTCCAGGTTCTCACTGGTCAACAGCTCCTTCTATCGCTCCACTGTTGTATTTTGTATTGGTTTTAAAGCTGTAATGGCCTGACACTCCCATGTGATGTGGTACAGAGTGGCTTTAGCTGAACACCATGAGCAGACAGGAGAGTATGCCGAGGGGTGCATTTTACTCAGAATGTGCAAATTTGGAAACATGCCAGTTTGAATTTGACTCTAGCTGACCGATTCCATTTTATTTAGTGTTCGGTGTGGAAGGAAATAAGAATAAGGGAGGTTTTTGATCTCAAGTTTTTTGCCATTATGACCTTCACATGCTTCCGTTCAGGGGAAGTGTGTCACGTTGCCAATGATCATTGAAAAATGCCGTGATTTCTTGTACGGCGCTGTTGTTGAGGTTCCTGATAAAAGAGTACGTGATTCCGCCTGCCCCAGCAGCTGTGTTGGGGTTGCTGCTGCGAATGGCTGCATAAACTTCGTCTCCCGTTATTGGTCCGCGACACGCAGCCCTAGATGGAACGGGTGGAAATCCCCAAAGCATTTGCACCGGACTTGATCAAGCAGCTCAACGTCCGTACCCTCAAAGGCATGTACGAGGCGCACGACTGACTTGTTCGTCTCATTTTTCATGCAAGTGGCGTCCATCAAAGCACACAAAATGTGCCCCGTTCGGGCCATGCACAATGAGCCTCGAAGAGAGTCTTTGAACTGGGCCCAATTGAGTTGCGCCACTTCTGTAGCATACTGCTCTGCCTCAGTGGTGAGTGCTGCAATCCTTAGCTTTAGGAGTCGGTTGTGTTTTTGCGTCCTCCATCTGCGGATGAGGCTCCTTCAGGCTTCCTACAAGATGTGGCAGATGACCATCCACTTCAGGCAGTGCAGGTGTTCTGTTAATGGTGGTGGTCCAACACTCCCAAATTTTTTTAAGTTGGGCACATTGATCGGTGAGGCTTGCGAGGCTGTCAAGTGAATGTTCGCTCTCACCACGAAAGGCGTCCCAGTTTGTGATGCGTGCTTGTCCAATAGACCGACGCACTGCAAAGTGGTCGCTGCCTAAGGATTTCTGCAGGTTGTCCCAGCTATAGTTTGCACTGCCACAAATGAAGGAGAGATCCGGGCAAGTGTCCCTGCACACACTGCTGCCGATACGGGTAAGGAACGCGTAAATTTTTCAGTGGCAGTCGCAAGCTGTTTGCCTTTGACATCCAAACGGTTGTAAGTCCAGCGTTCGTCGAGAACGTGCAAGCCCTCGTGCAGTAAGAGTTCCTTTCCTTGGGCTAATTTGCAGGCATCTTGGACGAGGGCATGGAAATCAGTGGCTTTTTACTTTGGGGCGCTATATACATTGACAATGATGACACTTTGCTTTTCTCCTTTTTTTTTTTTTTTTTCCACCTGAGAACTAGTTCTTTGACCACATGTTCTATGTTGGTGTCTGGGGTTGTCTAAGCCAACAGCAGTTAGCGCTTTGTCAATCAGGATGGCCACTCGGCCTTTTGTCTGACTATTATCAGACTCCATAACCTGAAAATATGGGTGACGTTCCAGGCTCCTGAAGCGCTATAACATCTGGCCGAGCAAGGTGTGTGTTAATGTAGTGTTGGAGAAGGCTCTGCTTTCTGCGGAAGCCACGGCAGTTTCATTGCCAGACTTCCGAATGTTTGCCAATGGGTGGAGCTGTGCTGCCCAGGGTTAATTTGTCGTGTGGAAAGGCGTGCGTATTGGAATCTCGGCTTGCGACACCTATGTTGGAGTGAGGGTGAGGTTGCCGGGTGTCGATGCAGGGGTGGCGAGGATTTCAAATGCATGCAATTCCAGTACTAGTCTATGGTAAGATTGACCTGTCATGGCGTGCCAACTACGAGTAGCCCTCTTGCTGTGTATATTTTCGCCTGTTTCAGCAATTTGGGCCTTGAGGCGTGTTTCGAGAGAGTCAAGGTGTTCTTCAGACTATGTGAAGACGGCACTAAATTGTTGCGAACCCAGCTGCGCGAGCGTTGAAAGCATTTTGCATATCTCTTCACATGTAACTGCGGTGCCCGACACAGCAGGAATAGATAGCGCCATTCTAAAAGTTTTCGGCTCTTGAGGGAGGTTAGAGTGGGTTGTTCACGGGAGTCGGGCGGCAATCCAAGACGCGCCATTAGGGCGTGGAGTTGAAATCTGTCCTTGGCTTGATGCGCCCCGATGACCGCCAGCTCCTCTTTGAGCTTTATGTTTTCCGCGAGAAGGTGATCGTATGCAATGGACAGGGTATCGAGTAGAGCTCAATAAGGTGAGCTGTCCAGCTCACCTTATTGTCAGCACCGGCTGAAGGAGTGGGATTGGGCTTCTCAACAGGTTTGCTGGAGGCGTGCTGGGACTGTTGACGGGTGGGTTGGTGCTGCTGCTGCTGCCCCTTGGTCATATGGTTCTTCGGCTGCTGTCACTGCTGTGGCTGCTGCTGTTGGCCAGGTTTCACAGAAGGGAGGGGGGGGGGGGGAAGGACCTCGAGCGGGAGTGGCTGTATGGGGTCTCATTTTCCTTGCTGAACCACCTGCGTTTGGGAGTGGGTGGGTTACGATGGGGGTTGCAGCCCCTGACTGATGCTGCTAGTCGAGGAGGTGGCCGTGGGCGTGGGGCCTTCAGTGTCTGAGAGCACTCTTTGGCACCCGTTAAGCGGGCATCCCCTCACAAGTGACATTTGGGAGCACAGGGGTGACTGTCAACGGGGTTGAGGGTACCACACTGCCGACACACATGAGCGTTCGGCGTGGGACATATGTCTGAGCGGTGCCCCGGTTCTAAGCGACTTGGCAGGCTTGCCTTGTCAGCTTGTACAAATAGAAGCCCCCCCCCCCCCCCCCCCCCGCCCCCGTAATACCGTACATGTCGGGGCAGAAGAGAATCCTCAAAAGTGATCAAGGCAGCTTTGGTAGCACGGAGCATTCATGCACTGTGTACTGTAACTTCCTGTGTGCGCACGCGGAGGTTGGCGGTGAGTTTTTCCGGAATTGTCGGGGGTCTATCCCATGAATATCTCTCTGCAAGTAACCCTCAGGGGACGCCACATAGGTATTGAATTCGTAGGTCTTCCCCTCAAGTGTGAGGATAGTGATCCGAAGGAAAATTTTGACCATCTCAACATGTGGCGTGCTGGCCGTAGGGTCAGTGGCCGTAGTGCTGGCCGTAGGACCGTAGTGTCAGCCGTAGGGTCAGTTGCGGCCGCTACAGCGCGACGGGGCGGGGACGGGGAAAGAAGGGGCGGCGGCTCACCCGGGCAGCAGCCGCAGCAAATCAGCTGGTGGTTGTCCAACAGTGACCCACTCAGTTGTTCTAATCAGTGTTTTTTTAATCTCATATAACACAGCGATGACATATCGCATATTTAGTAGACCACGAGGCGCTCCCACGCCTTGTCGGACCACGCCACGAATTCCGAGCCCGCTATCTTCGATGACGAGCTCGGCGCGTGGCAGAACTTCAGTGATTGCCATCGACCAATCACCTACGGACATTGGCGCCCATGTGACCAAAATGAACCCTATATAGACGAGCAACGCTTCTGCCTCGTGGGATTTGGAGCCGGCACGCTGGCGGACATGCAGCTGATTTCCCTGTTGTTCACGCAGGTTGGTTTGCATTATCCCATTCGGGCTTCTCGACTATTGTGTGCGTTGCCGGCTCCTCCCACTTTGGCGTTTGCTGATGCTCATTGTCGTAAAAGAGCGCGAGCACCTCGAAGAAAGTCTTTTCTGTTTGCTAAAAGGGTGTTTTATTTGTTCCTACTGTTGTTGCTTTCCGGCGATGTGGAACTTAACCCGGGCCTGTTGAAATGGATATCTTACAAAGCCTGCAAAAAGGGCAGACTGAAATCCTAAATAAGCTAGATTCTATTGAATCCCGGATCGCGAAGCATGAGGGAATGATAGCGGACATAAAGGACAGCCTTGGAGCAACTAAGAAGCAAGTCGAAGACTTAGGCAAAATAGTTACAGAGCATAAGGATGACATTTCGATTCTGCAGAAAGAGTTGAGGAATTTGCAGGCTAAGAACGTTGACCTGGAAAACAGAAGTCGTAGACAAAACCTTTTGTTTTATGGAGTAGATGACAATAAAAAAGAAACATAGGACGAATCCCAGGAATTGATAAAAAAAATCGTTGGCGACAAGCTTGGAAACGAAGTGGCATCGTTAGAGAGGGCACATCGCATTGGTGTATACCGAGAACAAAAAAAGCGACCTATCATCGCAAATTTCGCTTCGTACAAAGAAAGGCAAGAAATTTTGTCCAACGCAAAAAATTGAAGGGGTCAGGTTTCAGCATTGATCAGGATTTTGCGCCAGCTACTCAGGAAGTGCGAAAGCGGTTATGGGAATACGGTAAAGCCCACAAAAGTGAGAGCACAAAAGTAAGACTGAACTTTGAGAGGCTTTCCCTTGATGAAAAAACGTACGTATGGGATGACGAGAAGAAGGAAGTCGTTCCATTGCGAAAAAAAATGACGCGCACCTGAAAAAAAACACGCCCGACACAGCTTCGTCGCTGTTTTAATAAATTGTAGAAGCATAACAAAAAAGACGGACGAATTGGCGGGGCTTATCGAGTCTGTTAAAGCTGACGTAGTTATCGGAATGGAATCATGGCTGCACCGTGATATCAGCGACTGTGAAGTATTTCCAAGAGACTTTGTCGCGTAACGCAAAGATAGACCAAGCCATGGGGGCGGTGTATTCTTACTTGTGCGAAGTTCTTTGAAATCTGCTGCCCTCGACATTCAGTGTGATATTGAATCTGTTTGGTGCACGATTACCCTAGATGATAATTCTTCACTCGCTGTAGGTGCACTTTATCGACCCCCCAAACTCGGACTACAAAACACTTCAGTCGTTGAATGAGATTATCTCGAAAGTTTCAAACCGAACATTCCATCTTGCTGGTGATTTTATTTTGCCAGACTTAGAATGGCATGATGGAATATGCGTACGAGGCACTGGGTGCCGCGCAAACATAGAAATGAAAAATATAATAGACAACTACGGCTTTACCCAGTTTGTTACTTGCCCAACTAGAAATAATCACCTTCTTGACCTTGTGTTCTCAAATTCACCCAGTTTGGTGAATAATGTCAATGTTATTCCAGGAATCAGCGACCACATGGCTGTTGTTGCAGAAATCAAAAAAGAATGTAAAAACACCTCAAATAGTGCGGCAAGAAAGGTTTTTCTGTTCAGTAGGGGTGACTACACAAGAATAGTCGAAAGGCTAGAAGATTATTTGCCCGTGTTTGAATGCCTAGCTGAACACTACAGTATGAATGATTTATGGCTTAGCTTTAAGGACAAGTTGTTAGCACTCGTAGATAAGTATATACCTGCGAAACAAGCCGGAAAGCTTCATAAACGCAAGAAGCCATGGATGACGTCCGGTATTTTGAGATTAATCCGGAAAAGGCGACGGGTTTTTGGTAAATTAAAGAAATCTGGAAGCAGTGACCACGTGAAAGAATTACAAGCATTAACGGAGCAGTATAAATCATGTGTGGAAAGCGCAAAAACGAAATATTTCAAAGGGCCCAGCAATAAAATGAAAACTAATTCAAAGTGTTTCTGGCATTATGTCAAAGAGTGTGGGTCTGATCATGTTGGAGTGGCTGAACTAAACTTTAATAATATGGTTGTAGTTGATGAGGAAGCAAAAGCTACCTGTTTAAACAAATATTTCCAGTCTGTGTTCTTGCCCAAGCTTGACGTTCCTTCAAAACCACACCCAACCACGATTCCGCCGATGCCACCGGTAGAACTGAGTGTCCGTGGCATATGTTCTCTTCTAGAAAACCAAGATGAATCCAAAGCAGTTGGTCCTGATGGCATCTCTCCTCGTATTCTAAAGCGATGTGCACTGCCAATTCCCCTTTACCTTTATATAATTTATTCAAAATCCCTTTCAACGGGAACTCTACCCGAAGATTGGAAAATTTCTCATGTTGTTCGGTTCATAAGGGTGGCTCAAAAAAAGATGTAACAAATTACCGACCCATTTCATTGACATCAGTGGCATGCAAAATTTTCGAGCACATTTTATCCAAGCACATATTGACCCATCTTACTGCTAATAATGTATTAATAAATGAGCAGCACGGTTTTCCTAAAGGTTTTTCTTGTACGACGCAACTTGTAGAGTTCTTTCACGAGCTGGCTTCCAACGTTGATGAAGGTGGGCAAACAGATTGTGTGTTTTTAGATTTTCGAAAGGCCTTTGACACCGTGTCACACTCCCTTCTCCTGGCTAAATTACAGACTCTAAATTTCGACCCAAATGTGTTCATCTGGAAAACCAATTACTTGCTGAACAGGCGTCAATGCGTTCTTTTAAATGGGAAGTGTTCATCCTATGTTAACGTTACATCAGGCGTGCCCCAAGGCTCTGTCCTTGGGCCTCTCTTATTTCTTATTTTTGTAAATGATATTTCTGTGGGTATTTCGTCGCGCATGCGTTTATTTGCCGACGATTGTGTGTTATATCGACAGGTTCAGAACGAAGGTGACTGTGCTTATTTGCAGAACGATTTGAATTGTATTGTACAGTGGTGCCAGAAGTGGCAAATGATGCTAAACCCCAAAAAGTGCGTTCATATGCGTGTTTCCAAAAAAAAGAAACCAATAGTAACGGCGTACACCATAGATACGCATACTGTTATTACCGAACCAACATGCAAATATCTTGGCGTTGTTTTGTCGCATGACTGCTCATGGAATGCCAATGTCGATCACGTTGCTGGCAAAGCGGCAAGGGCTCTAAACTTCATTCAGAGGAACCTAAGATTGGCACCCCGAACATTAAAAAATACAGCCTATCTCACATGTATTAGACCGATCTTGGAATACGCATGTCCTGTGTGGGACCCTATGCAGATGAACTTGATTGATAAGCTTGAAAAAATACAAAACAGAGCTGCGCGGTTTGTTTTAGGGCGGTACGAGCGGAGAGACAGCTGCAGTGCTATGAAAGCTGAATTGGGTTGGGAATTGCTTTCTTTATGCAGGAAAAAACTGCGTTTGAAGTTTTCTTTCTGTTTTCATGGGCGGACTGGGATTGACCGTCATAACTATTTCAGTGAACCCAGTTACATATCTAGTCGACATGGCCACCGACGCAAAGTGAAAGAATATCGTGCAAGAACGACCATGTTTTATAATTCCTTTTTTGTGATGACCATTAGAGATTGGAACCGGCTGCAAGACAAGCAAGTGCGCTGTATAAACAAAGAATTGTTTTATTCCAGTCTGTAACCCCCCTGCTGTAACGCCTTTTTGAGCAAAGCGGGGCACTCACCCAATAAATAAATAAATATCTAGTTAAAAAGCCAACTGATTTTTCCTGTGCATGCCGAGCACTTCAGTTTTTTTTTTCAGAACCAGCTTCTTGCTTTGAGGCTGAAAGAAAAATCCACAGTGAATGTAGCTGAATGATACGGCACTGAATGCGTGCAAAGTCGTTGTTCTATTAATGAAGACGTCTTAAACTTACATATTTCGATTTTTCTGACGTTTATTCAGCACTTTCGCGATTTTTCCGTCGGAATGCTTGACAATTTTTTGGACACTTGACAAAAGATGTTGATTGTTTTTATAGGCTGAAAGTGTATCAAAGAAATATAACTTGAATATTTGTCATGTAATCCAGTACACCGTAGTGCGCCAAAACGTAATTAAGCTTCAAATGCTGGATAAAAGTGGTTTCTACAAACATGGTGACACACTCCTCGTAACTTCATTTCAGAGGCTGCGACAGTATACATCATTAGAAGTGGCATTCAAATTTCTTGATAGTTGTTACTAGATGAATATATATATATATATATATATATATATATATATATATATATATATATACAACACACACACACACACACACACACACACACACACAACCACACACACACACACCACACACACACACACACACACACACACACACACACACACAAACCAAAAAGTGGAGGACGGGCAAAACGAAAACTTTTATTTTTCCTACGTTTCAGCCGGGGACCGGCCTTCATCATGGCTTCATCAGTCGGATGAAGGCCAGTCCCCGGCTGAAACGTAGGAAAAATAAAAAGTTTTCGTCTTGCCCGTCCTCCACTTTTTGGTATTTTTCCACTGGATCAGAGGACACCTTCTTTTTCATTCATATATATATATATATATAAGGGAAAGAAGTGTATACCTAAGGGCTCGTTTTTCCGTGTTTTGACACAATATAATGAGATCTAACAGACAGTAATGCCAAGGAATGTACAGGGGAAGTTATTAGAACTAATGGAATGTAAATAAAAAAGAAAAGTGGGTGAAAAAATAACCAGCCATGAGCAGGCATCGAACCTACGACCTTCGAATAACGCGTTCGAGCATCGAACGCGTTATTGTGCGGGACACACAAGTGCGGGACACACCGTATGATCTTGTGCCGGATTCAATGTGCCGGAAGGCCGCTGTGGTAGCTCAGTGGTTAGAGCATCGAACGTGTTATTCGAAGGTCGTAGGTTCGATTTCTGCTCACGGCTGGTTATTTTTTCATCCACTTTTCTTTCTTCTTATTTACATTCCATTGGTTCTAATAACTTCCCCTATACATTCCTTGGCATTTCTGTCTGTTATATCTCATTAATATTGTGTTAAAACACAGAAAAACGATACCTTAGGTATACACTTCTTTCCCTTATTTCATTAAACGAGGGTCTCGTACTGGCAGACTTGGTGACATTAGGTTGTATACGAGGGACTATTAATCAGCTGCCCGCTCATAATAAGTTCACGTGCTACGTGACGCCAAACATGTGCACAAAAGAGTGTTTTCACACTCGTCGCTTGGCTTATAGATGGCGCTGACTGTCACTCCAACTTCTAAATTCCCATACAAACCCAAAAAAGTGGATGGAGGGAAGGCCGCTGTGGTAGCTCAGTGGTTAGAGCATCAAACGCGTTATTCGAAGGTCGTAGGTTCGATTCCTGCTCACGGCTGGTTATTTTTTCATCCACTTTTCTTTCTTCTTATTTACATTCCATTGGTTCTAATAACTTCCCAGTACATTCCTAGGCATTACTGTCTGTTTATATATATATACACACACACACACACATCGGCCTCGATTCGATTCAATACGGTAAATAGAAAAAAGGAAATCAGAAAAATGCAGTGGCCACATAACAGGCAGCATGCAGAAGAAAGCCGTAGCAATCCACAAATCTGGAAACACAGACTTTACTAGCAACACACCTGCATAGTGTCATGAACTGGGTCCAGCCAGGCATTGACCGCTTCTTCTTCAAGCACGACCTGAAAAGAGTCGAAGCAAAGCCCACAACCGGTTAAACACCAACACCTGCCGCCCACACTTACTTAAAAGCACTTCCAGGGTTCTTACAGCTTTCGAAGCCGAAAATTCTAGGGTTTTCAATGACTCACGAGTAGGAGTGTGTAACTACTTGGTTTGAATAGCTTGGTATTCAACTCGAATCGCAAGGCATTTCCAGTTTTTAAAATAGTCACACACCAGTAAACTTCATAACAAGTACTTAAACCAGCACAAAGAATTACTTACCAGAGTTAAACTTAGCAAATTTTGATACACAAATTGACATAATATATTTCAACTACCATATTCCCCATAAGCGACATTTGCAAATGACCTGGTATTCAAGCGTAGTGGCCGAAGTGTGGAATTGTGTATGAGGTTGAGCACTTTATGCAATAGGGAGTAAAAATTATTTGGAACAATACCGCCAAAACAAAAAGCCATTGCAAAATAAAAGAAATTCTTCAAATTAAACTAAACTAAACCTTGGATTACTCTGGGTTATGCAAAGATGAAGCACCGGCAATGAACATCATGTCAATGAGTTGTGACTGCTCTTCGTAATTGAGGAAGCATGCTAAAGGGGGGTCCAGCTTTCGTTAGCAAAAGTGGCCAATATATTGATTTTTTCAAAATCACATTTTCAGTTTCTACAGCCTTGCTTATATCCGATTCTGAAATATCTCTGCTGAAAAAAAAAACGCAAAGAAGTGATTTTAAAATATTGAGAGACCCTTCAGCTTTGCCTTTAGGAGTGGGAAATCTTTTTGAGCTTGCTATGCACCCACTAGTTGGGCCTACGAAGAAAAGCAAAGTAACATGCGTATTTTTTGTAGAGGGTGGCCCGCTTTAATCCATGAAGTCGTCATAATCCCATGTTCTGACACCCGATTGCAATGTTCGCTTGTACCACGCATTATTACTGCAACATTATACATGGTGAAGCATGTATAAAGGACTCGTGTGGTTGCAAAGTTACTTTCACTGCATTTACAAGCAGAGAAAGTTTTTTCACTGTACATTTAAACTTGGATATAATAAAATTGACAAACTCCCTCAAAAATTCGTTGTAAAGAGGATTTCATTATTCCCAGGTTCAGTATGAAAATTCGAAACATAAACACATAAATTAACAGAACAGAAACTTCAGGCAGAGCTTGCCCAAAATTATTGTGATAGCAGTTATATGGACCCTCTCGGCGGGCTTTTGCTGTCACTGCCATGTTCCGCAACAAGTCTAAATTGATAGTACGCCCCCGTGCATCGTCAACGCTTGCGAGCGGGTAAAAAAGCGTGACCACTGCTGAAGCAGAGATTAAATGAGCTGGCCTAGAGGGTGCATTAGATAACGTTTTTCCCGCATTTTAGAACGCTGTAGAATGTCCAAACAGAAAGGAAGCCACCCGTATTTAACAAGCATGAAAAAACGTAGCACGGGGGTGGGGGGGGGTGTCATTCGATAAGGAACGGTGAACTTTTGGACTTTAAGGGCACAGTCCCGATCGCTGGCGCGTGTGCTATCTTGGCAAGCATCAGTGCACTTTCAGGTGATGAGACTGTGTGAAAAGAGCCCTTCGCCCTAGAGCGGTCGTACTTGCCTACACCAGTGTTTTGTAGGAGTTCCGCGATTTTAGACCTAAAAAAGTTGGCTGCCAGCCTTACTTCATATAACATCACAATTTGTTACTCTCGCATTAAATGCGTTGCATTAAACGCACCGTTGTGTTGTAGCCAGAGCTAATCGGCTAATCGCGAAGGCTACGGTACCTCGGACATACAGCACAAATGGAAACGCGTGATGAGTCGACCTCGAAAGATCCGTTGTTGTCACCGTTGTCTCGAAGTTTCCATTAGCGCCTTAACAGACATCCCCTCGGTAGTGACAACATTGTTTCTGCATTAAAAAAAAAGCAAAGCTGAATGTCGCCGGGGGCCAGGGGCCACGCCATGCGTGCGCAGTGAAACAATGCACATGCGCACAGCATAGAAAACGAAGAGCCAACAACACAGATAATGCGGAAAACTGTTCAGTAAAGCACCCACCTCATCCGGCGCAGTCCCATATATGTGACGCTAACTGCTAACGCAAAAGTATTCTTTTTTTTTTAACTTGGAGGGAGAGGGCACATTTGTGCATGTGCCTGCGGCGGCAATAACCACGGCAACGCTGGCTCGTGGGGCACCAGCGTAGGCCTGCCTGCTCGCCTTGCCCCCACCCGCGCGCAATAACGACCGCTCACTCTCGCCTGGGTTCGCCGGGGCCACGAGCCCACCGCTTCCGCTTAGCGCTTTGTCGGCGGCGGGGTGACCACGGAACATGCGTGCTCACGGCAAAATGACAAAATCCGGGACAGAATTCTTAGATTGTCCGTGGCGAAAATTCGTTATATCAAGGTTGTCTCCCGCTGCTACTTCACTGAATAAAGGTTACAAATACACGTGCTTTTATAGAGTAACGGCGGGGAGTAGAAGAACTTTGTTATGTCGAGGAATTTGTTATGTGTAGGTTCGCTATAAACAGGTTTAACTGTAATTCCAGGCAGACACGCGGCTTTGTGGTAAAACACCCACTTGAAATGCAAACAACTCTGGTTCCATCCCAACTTGGGTTCAAACAACCCAGGTTCAATCCCCATTCTGACCCAGCCTTTTTTAATTATTTATTTTAATTACATCGTTCTCGATTTTTCGGTCACAAATAAGATGATTTTTCACGCACAGCCAACCTCGTCGCCGCCGACACCAGAATTTTTGTGAAACGAGCTCGTTAATGCCATTACGTTAAAATTTGTTGCACTTGCTAAATTAGCGAGAATTATCTTGAAGATCGCGAAAAAAACAACAAAATTGATTTTCAAAACGACGCGACCAGGCGTCGTTGCTTTGGGCTCGTTGGAAAGAGAGTTTTTTTCGTGTTCGAATTCCTCGCCTGAGCTGGCTCCTTCATTCAAACACAAGCGCGCAAAAAGCAAATGTTCGAAAGTTTCATGGAGAAAGGAACAAAGTGAGGAGAGGCCATTACGTGACATTTTGTGAGAATAGCAGTACGGAAGAGTAGAGGACTCCTCCTCTCTATTGTGGGCACGCAACGGTGGCTCGCGCATGCGCGACAAGCACCAGCGAGAGGGAGGTGACCCGATTTCGGGCGGATTGGGCCACCGCCATATAATAGACGAGCAGGAAAAGCGAAACTTTTGTGCTGATTATGAGCAAATGTGCTGCGATACTCGCTTGTAGAGTAACTGTGTGCCATTTTCAGTTTCATGACGGCTCAGATTGTGAATCTACAATAAACTTGCAGCTTTGCACTTCGTATTTATTCCGGTGAATTAAAGAGAGCAACGGCATGAAATAGCTGGATAATTGCCACAACAGGCTGTTTTCTTCTGCAGATACGCCAAGTTCGAGGTACGGAACAAATTGTAACAATGAAATGTTATTTACTTTGTTTCGCTATTCAGCCAGATGAAGTATCTCCAAATCGTTCTTGGCCATGTGTGTTATGATACGTGCACAGAGTATCGTTTTTATATCGAAAGTAACTTGGCCGTAGATGAGGTTACCGCACGCAAACCTTAACAGGAAGTAATATTTTAAATAATAAATCACCTTCTGTGTCTAATTCTCAACTCGGCAAGCTCCGGTAAGAACAGTGGGCCACGTACTGCTTTCCGATAATGTGACCATCGTATACGAGAACAACTAAACGCCACTTCTCGCATGAAGAGCCATAGACTCTGCCGTTCACGTCTTGGAATCAGAGGCTTCCTTCCCTGAGGCACGCAAGCACAGTGCCGAAATAAAACAGCGAAGCTACGGCGCCAATCATTTTCGAAGACGTGGTCACAATCTTCGAAAACAACAACTTTTGACCTCAAGCGATATAAAATAAACTCGCGACCATGAAGACAAACCTTCACTGTAGAGTTCCGACACCTGGCATCATTCTTGAAGTGCAACAACTGCATAAACATGCACATTCACAACTCCAGCCAGCTATCGATCAACAACGAGGTCATACGAGTGATGGTGCAGACGACACCAGACACGCCCTCCTAGTCCCACAACCTCCCTGCAAAAGCATGTCACTTCTGCCATACTTCTCACTCTGTAGCAATCTGCAGCTAGCACTGCGAGGGCCTCTCCTCAGCTTTCCTTCCTCCACGGAAGGTCGTATCAAGGCCTCTGATGGGTGGCGTCCGCCATGTTGCTCCAGCACACCTCGCCATTGGCCGATCCGGGACAGTGCATCTGCCGATTGCGCCTTGGTGCGTCGCGAGGTCATGGCTGTCGAAAATCACGCCATTTAGTAGTGACGCACGCACACTCATTTTGTGTGCAATGATAGGCAGTTATTTAGAGTTGTGATGTAGTTAGACCTGTTACACCGCGGCAAGCGGAAGCTCAATCACGAGGATGCAATAACGCTGCGGTCATCGCCAATATCGCAGACGGGCATCTCGGACAGATCCGTCAGACCCTCGGTGACTGATAGGTTCTGCTTATCAGCATTTCGGACCGCCTGTTGAAGATTATCACAGAACCACTTTTTGTACTTGCGATCGAACAAGACCTTTTTTTTTAATATCGGGCATTGCAGCCGAGCCTACTGCTCGGAATCGTGGCTAAGCGTAGTTAGCTCCGCTCACGGCGCCAATACGAGACGAATGCAGAGTTTGCGGGCAAAGACATCGCGCTAGATGAAGACTAGGCGTAGTGTTATTTGACGGAAGCAACTAATCAAATTGCCCAATGAGGCCTTGAATCTACAGTTGAGCATATTGCCCATCAGCTCTGCCCGGCAGAGGTCGTCGCGCAGCGACTGCGCGTCGGCCTCTGAAATGCGAGACCACACTCGTTGCGCGCTAATTTGTTGTCGCTGAACCTAAGCATATCAGCATATTGCGCATCGTCATCGAATGCCGCGACCTAGAAGATCGCGTGCCAAGTTCTTGAAATCTGCGTCCTAGCATATTGAAGT